ATGTATGTATGTATGTATGTATGTATGTATATATATATATATATATATATATATATATATGCGTCATTGTAGTCCAAGTGTTGGCACCCATGATGGATGCACACCAGCCCGTTGAACCATAGAGTCAAAGCTATAACATCTCTGTTCTGCTACGGAATTGGTTGATGTGTGTGTACGGTTGGTATCCTGTCTCAGACCCCCTACGCGCTATACATCCCTATGTAACGGCGTAGTCTCTAGTCTTTCCAATTGAGCTTTGCTAACGTTTGCGACTGCAGACAGACACCCTCTTCTAGCACCACGCACTTCGCCATTCCGTTTGTTTCTGGATACGTCTATTACGCTATTTGAAGGTACAGGCAGCTCACACTACATGCCTGTATAGAGGCACAATCGGGTCTAAACGTTCGCACACACCTGCACCATACCGTAGAATTTGGCCGAAGCGAAAAAGAACGCTGGTGGTGAACACTTCATGGGCAAATACCTACAAGAGGAAGGCAAGGGACACCCAATCGACCAGTTAATGGCCGCCATGGCTATGCAGGACACCGCCCAAGGGGACCTCGGCTTTCCAGGTGTGTGCTGGGATGGTGCATGGATATGATACGATAGGATGGGGGGTTGTATGTGATATATAATATCTTTCCAGGTGTGTGCTAGGATGGTGCATGGATATGATACGATAGGATGGGGGGTTGTATGTGATATATAATATCTTTCCAGGTGTGTGCTAGGATGGTGCATTGATATGTTACGATAGGATGGGGTGTTGTATGTGATATTTAATATCTTTCCAGGTGTGTGCTAGGATGGTGCATGGATATGATACGATAGGATGGGGGGTTGTATGTGATATATAATATCTTTCCAGGTGTGTGCTAGGATGGTGCATTGATATGATACGATAGAATGGGGAGTTGTATGTGATATATAATATCTTTCCAGGTGTGTGCTAGGATGGTGCATGGATATGATAGGATAGGATGGGGGGTTGTATGGGATATATTATATCTTTCCAGGTGTGTGCTGGGATGGTGCATGGATATGATACGATAGGATGCGGGGATTGGATGTGATGTGGGATTTGATGTAGTTATAATGGCTATACTGGTGTATGCTGGGGTAGTACACTGATATATGATGTGATGTGGGATTGTATGTAATTATATATTAGGGATTGTATGTGATATGTAATACAAGGATTCGATATGATGTGATGTGGCATTGTATGTAATTGTAATGGCTATCCAGGTATATACTGGGGTAGTACACTGATATGTAATACAAGAATTCGATTGATCTGATGTGGGATGGTATGTAATTATAATGGCTATCCAAGTGTGTGTTAGGATGGTACATGGACATACAACCCAAATTCCAAAACAAAGAGTGGGAGAGTGTATCTGGGTATATACAGCAGTTTGTTCACAAACAAGTACACCGGCACGGATTACGCACGCATTGTCTCCCGCAAATCCATGGATGAGTGTACCAGGCACTTGTCTACCTACTGAACACTCCGCCACTCTTCACCTGCCACAGAACCCGAGCACCCACACCACCACAGTAGTATCCATGACAACCCAAATAGCACGCCCAGGCAAAGCTTGCACCCGGGAGCCGCTGGCATGATTAAGGCCGCCCCCTCGGAACTGGTGCCTTATAAGACCCTCTACCATGGAGAGGTGGTGTGCGCCGTCGCACTAGCAAAGGTGTGTGAAATTTCTGATGAAGGATGTTTCCGATGTTCTCATTGGGTTGAGTTGGGTTGGGTTGGGTTGTAGGGTTTATGAGGCTGTGTGTGCCGTCGTACTGGCAAAGGTATGTGAATGAAGTTTTCAATGAATGAAGTTTCCGATGTTGTCATTGAGTTGGGTTTTAAAGTTTATTACATCCGTACTCAGCAACTAGCACTGGTCTGTCAAGGCATTGTGCGTGTTCGTATTGACGAGAGAGTATCGCAGAAGCGCTGCAGAGAGGTCCTACATGGTCTTAATCTGCGATGCGTCTGTGTGTGTTGGTGTTAGATAGCTTGAATGACATACCCACTCACCTTGGAAGTGTATACTGAAACACCAAGCCTACTTCTAACCGAAGACCCGAACCATCACTATAACCTCGTGCGAAGGAGAGAGCTTGGACATACAAGCACATCTGCAGTCCCTTTCTCAGCACCGCACACAGTGCCGGCGCCAAGGCAGATATATATACGTACATACATACATGCATATATACATATATACTCTTACATGCATACATACATACATATATATATGCATACATACATACATACATACAGAACGGATATTGATAGCGAATGCAATGGTACTTAGTGTGCCTATGGCAGTCACAGGTCGTCGACACAAACAGATAGCATTCCCACGTACTTTTGATCACCAACCCATATCTATCTACCACCAACACGCACACATATATATATAAATTTACATCCCACCCATATCTATCTACCACCAACACACACATAAATATACATCCCACCCCATGTCTATCT